TATCCTCCCTCTCTCTCTCTCTCTCTCTCTCTCTCTCTCTCTCTCTCGGCCAAATTACCTCAGCTGTTTTTGATGAAGCAGGAAAGTGATAGGTGAGGACAGAATTTTTCTTGAAAAATTTTCCTTGGAAAAATTCCAAAAGTTTTTCGAGTGCTTCCTCTTCTTCTTCTTCGTATTTATCTTCGGCCGCCAGCCGATCTCGCACAGCACTTTCCAGTTGAACACCGTACTGTGAGCCCTTAATTTCCTTAATCACCACGATTCGGAAGAACTTCTCGACAGGAGCTGAAATTTTCAAACAACAAGAAGTAATGGGAGTTAGTGTTTTAAAATTCAGCAAGTTGAGTTGGAACTGCTTGAGTTGATAGTCTCTCCAAGTCCTATGTAAATAATGCCATGAGAGTCAATCAAGTTGCACACTTTTCGACTCTTGTAGCATCAACCTGGAGATTTTGGAAGGGTTGAGAAGTGTCGAAAGGGTCGAAAAGTGTGCGACTCGGTTGGGAGTTCTTTACACTAAACTAGGCAATCAGGAATAAGCCAGGGTGAATCTCCACTTCGTGAGCCTCTGATTCGGAAACCCCTAAGTTTAGCTATAAGAGGACAATTCTAAATCGGATCAGCGATTTTTAAAACACTGATCATGATGAATAAAAAGGTCACCTTGGATGAGGGCATCGCTGAACGAATCATCTTCTGCAAGTTCAGCCCCTGTTGTTCCCTTGAATGATTGTAAGTGATTAACAACATCTGAGTCCAAATATATTCCTATAGCAGTGAACTTAATCTGGAGAAAATGGATCTCAATGTCTGTTATGCCTGTAAAAATAGATTAAAATTGCAGTGAAATTAGATAAAAATTGTCATTAACCAGCAAAATATTGCGCATCAATTGAGACATTTATATACTCAAAATGGACAATCAAATAATCTTTAAAATAGGAGTAAAGTAAAATTGGAATTACATCAGTGAATAAACAATTTTCTAAATCAATTTGAGATGAGTTTGACAGTACGATGCTTAATTAGGCATTTTTTTTAGGGGGTAAAATAAAATGAGCTTTCGCTAAGGCCTTAATATGACCAGTTTTCTCTGTTATTACATTTGTCCTGTTTGGGAATGGGAAAAGGCATGGAAATGTAGAGCCCTGAATTTCCCTATATTTCCAGGCTTTTCATCATTTTTGCGAAAAATAGCAGGACACCGATTTCTCAGGAAAATCGGGAAGCAGGAAGGCACCTCATCCCCTTTTATTTCTCTACCCTCATGATCTCTCACCTTCTCAATCTCTCTTTACCAAGCTCTAGCCTAAGCTTTCTCCGCTTTTCACAGACAGGTTACCAAACAAGGGTTTTCAGCTTCCCAGTCTGAGTTTTCTATCTCTTCGTTTGTGTAGTACTCCCAGTTTCCCAGATATCTTGCAGAAGAATATCTTTCTCAGTTACCAAACATACCCGAAGAGAAAATGATTAAGGTTTAGGTAGGCCCAGCTCACATTTTAATCCCAGCCGCTCAACCAATTGAAATGTGAAACTTCAAAGTAGATTTTCTAGAATTATTTATTTTCAAAATCAAAGATTTCGTGCAAAGGCTCTCTCTGGAGCATAAGCTTATACTGTAGCTATAAGCCTTCTGACTTCCTTGCTCTTTTACTTTAGAGGGATAATCTTACTCAATTCTGACCGTCTGATTTTTATGGTTTATTACGTAAGGAGGGCGTTTACCATATTGCGGAGCATAGTATATTGTTTCCCTCAATAAAAATATACTTACTTGGAAGGATTTTTTCTATCTTAAATTTTGGAAACCACCTAAGAATTACTAAATAATTATTCTCAAAAAGAAAAAAAATGGAAGCTTAAGCTTTCTTACGCTTAGATTTCACCCTCTAATAATTGGAGGGTCTCTATTTAGTCTTTTAAACATTTTTTTTTTCAAGTGCATAGGTAGTGGAATTAGAAAAATAAAAATAAAAATAAATAAATTATAGATATATATATATTGAAGTTAATCTATGGGTTGAAAAGGTTATGTCCCCAAAATTAATCCTAGATGGGTTTTACTGACGGAGTAAATAGACAGTATACTTTTGCGGGACTACAAATATTTTGGCTTATGTAAAATAACCAAGATATTTCTTTATTTGTTTACGTAGCATTATTAGGGATTATCTTTCCTTGAGTTTTTGTTTCCATTTGTCCCTACTAGTGTGAATGGATCAGTCCACCAGGATTAATTTTTTGAAAAATATGAAAAAAATATGTAGCCTAGCCCGGCCCAACACCATTAACACGATTTGCACGGACCATGTAGCCTTTGGCCGGGTTCAGGCCCAGGTAAGGCCTCTAGGGTTGCAGACAAAGTGAGTGTTGGTGCAGTCCAAGCCTAGCCCCTTGCCAGCCCTACTATGTTCCCTTTCACCAGCAGGGATGCTAGAGTTACATTATTCTTCAAAAATTACAAGATCAGGTCACTAGACACCTAGGGGTGGGAATGGGTTAGGTAGGCTCCTGGACTCGGACCCAACCTAACTCAATTAGGTTTAGGTTAGACCTAGACCAGACCTTGACCCGATCCAGTGGGTCTAGTCCGGGTGGGCGGAGTCCGGGTCTCAAAATAAAAAAATGCAACAAACTATGTCATGTATTTTGTGATACATGGTTACTATATTTGTCTATACTTTATGCATATATGTACCGGGTCGGGTTGTATCAGATTCACACCGACCAAGACTAAAATTTGCCCAGAAAGGTCTCAGTTAGACCTGGATCCAGACCACACGTGTCATAGGTTCGTTGTCTTGTTGCAAACCTAGACCCAATTAGGTCAACTAGCCGGGTCCACGGGTCAACCCGATTCCCACCCCTAATTAGAACTTTTTAATGAGAGATGTGTTACTCAGTTCAGTCAAAAAACAGTTTGAAAGCAATGAATTAATAAATTTATTGTATGAATAAATTAATGATCAAGTACTCACCATGACCCAGAAGGTGTAGAGGTTTACTGGCTGTGACCTCTGAAGGGAAGGGGAATTCATCAACCATAACAATTTCAGAACCCACTGTAAAGACCAAAAAAAAAAAATGAATGATTAAATATAAGATCCAACATAAAACTAAAAAATTCCAAATTTTAGTCTCACACTCCAGTTGGCAAAAAATGAAAATGAGAAAAAAAAATGCTGAAAAATAAATTTTTTATATAATTTCAGAGAGCAAAATATCATGGTGAGAAAAAAATAGAAGTTGGGTTTGTGGGATTAACTAAAAAAGAAACTTGGATTTGTGGATAAAAATAACTCTCTGTGTCTTTCAAGATGATAGAATGCACTTACTGATTTATGAAGATTTGAAAGCTGAGAAGAGTTTTGATCTCTCTCTGCAATTGAGTTTTAATGGAGGGGCTGGTGTAGGGGTTTATATAAGTGGTGAAAAGTGGGGTTTGATCGAAGAACCACTCCTCTCTGGAGGGTAGTTGTGTATGATGCCACCGGTTTTTCTACTGCAACGACTGGCAGGTGAAACCGTTTAGAAATCGCCCTGGTTGCGTTGTCAAATTCACGAGTACCCCTACCCTTTATGGTTTTTGAGGGCATTTCCCATATTCAGATTTGGACCCGGTTTCTATGCGGCCAAGCCCACGTATGTACAAATGCGGGCCTCTTAATAAATCTGTTTTTGAGATGGATTTTAAAACTTAATTTTTAACGATATATAATCTCTAACATGGAAATCATGAATATGAATAAATAAATATATTTTTAAAACTAAAAACAATAATTTTAGTAAGAAACCGTTAGTTTCCATTGTTTTTAAGATGGGTGCTTTACACTTTCGGGCCGTATATGTGGAAATGTGATCCAACTTGCATGAAACAATTTTTTTGAGATTTTCTCAATACTGAACAGATTGGAATTGTCCAGGAATTATAATATAGACATTAATCCTAATGTTAAGAGTATAGGCTTATGGGCCATTAGATGGTAAGTTCTTAAACAATTTTAATAAAAGGTCAAGAGACGGGTGGATGTTTTGTCATATGGTCCTTAAATTTTCGTAATAGATACCCATAAAGATCTCGGCTTTCATGAAACTTGTTTTTTTACTGCATCAATTGATAACATTTTAGTAAATCCCCTTTAATGCACCAATTGATAACATTTTAGTGAATCCCCTTTAACTATCATCCGGCTTCCAATGTGCTCCAGAAGAATTTTAAGTCCACGAATGTTACGCATTATTCATAGTTGTATGTAAATGTGGTCCTGCATAGAATAACACTATACATCCATTTAATACGGTCAGGATTTCCAAATTGGCTACCATCAAAATTCAATTTATAATAACATTCTAGAGGCCGATGCCAACTACTAATGGGCCTAATATTCAACACTTTATGCTTAATAGATTCCCTGATTCGTTGAAACTCATGATTAACTATAAAAAAATCGATTTTTTTTTTACTGGCTTACATAAAACCCGGGTTTCCTCTAAAAAGGATGGTCTTATAAAATTTGGATTTGCTCTAATCACATTTTTTTACTCTAAAGCTATGTTTCTTAAACCCCAAAATAAACATATTCTAAAAATTCGGTTTTAGGTGAGAATTTGGGTTTGGATGGTAGCTCGGTATTTCTATTCTAAATCACTTTAATTCTATTTGTGCTTGAGATCCATGAATTTAGAGCTAAAAAATTAATAGAAACACAATTATTCCTAAAAATAGAAAATAGCCAAAAAAAAAAGAATACAAAATAGACCATTCTAGAACTCAAAGTTCATCCATTACTTGGATGTAATTGGGGATGTTAAAATGAATCTGCATAGGCATCTAACCCCAAATGCATTGTTTTAAAACTTAGATAGGTGGGGTAGATCATTCATTCACAAATCTGTATTGTATCACTCAATTGAAATCCAAATTGGGTCTAGATCAGTTTAAATTGATGATAAAAAATGGTAAATTAAAAAATAAAATAAAAATAAAAATAGAGGCTTATAGGGTGGGAATTTAAGGTGATATCAAAAATATTAAACAAATATATATATATATATGAGAGAGAGAAGGTGGTTTTCTGGGGAACCATGCAAGACCCATGCTAGACCAATTTTTGAATCTATTGCCATTCAAATTAACCAATGGGTAGAAAATCAACGGGTTTTAAGACACTGTTTAAAGGAGAAGAAAAAATGCAAACAATCTTTATAGGGTGCAGTTGGCATACGAATGCATCCATAGGTGTAGAGATAAGGTGTACATTTAAATTTTATCATGTTATATAATTTTGATGTAAAATGTTCTTAGGATTATCTCAAAATCTATTTTTATATCTAATTATAAAATTTAAAATTTAAAATTCAAGTAGATCTATAAACATAAGAAAATCTTGAAAATGGATAGTGTAGATAATATGTTGTAAAATGCACTATTTCTGAGACTTAAAGTCTTTTTATTTTTCTTAGTCATATATCTCGATGTCGAGATGATCAATCAAAGGGTTTTCAACATTAAAACTACCTTTTCCGATATATTTTTGAGGGGCATCCGTAGTTCTACATTACAAGGTAGCATCCTCATATAAAATTTTTCCAGCTTTTTATATAGGGTGCAGTTAGCATACGGATGCATCCGTAGAGTTAAGGTGCACCTTCAAATTTTATCATGGTGTATAATTTTGATGTAAAATGTTCTTAGGATTACCTCAAAATCTATTTTGATATCCAACTATAAAATTTTAAATTTCAAAAATAAGTTGAAATTCAATAGATCTATAAACATATGAAAATCTAAAAATTGGAGGACGCCGATAATATGTTGTAAAATGCCCTATTTATGAGGTTTCAACCTTATATAAACTTTTTCCTTTTATATAGGGGTAGGTTAAATGAAAAAGGGTTGAACAAACTCGATGTTTTCCAGGTGATTTACGGATATTTTAGTAAAAACCCCATTTCGTGGGTACTGCAGCGGCCACGTGCTGTTCTGGTTTCCGAGATCCTCGTCTTACCAACTCCACATAACGCTCTCCATCTTTCAACTTATTGCACAAGTGACCCTACATTAATGATAGAATATAATAGGGTGCCGTTTGTATACCGTGGCGGCTTCCACCATAAACAATCAAAAGTGGAGCACACCTTCAAATAATTTCGAGTAATGTGGTTTTAATATTAAAAATCTTTATGATAGCTTTAAAATATATTTTTTTATTTAATTATAAAATTTAAAGTTTCAAAAATAGTGTACATCAGATAGATCTCTAAAAACTTGAAAATTTTTAAAATTGATGGTCTAAAAATGCATTAGAAGATGCACTATTTTTAAAATTTGAAATCTATTTTTTTCTCATGTCCATTCATCTTGATGTCGAGATGATCAAATTGATATTTGGATATATAAAATTTTGAGGTGGGCTCTAATTTGATACTAAATCAACTTTTTCCATGTAATATAGATACAACTCCTCGTCGTGGGGTAAGTGAAAGTAGGTAAAATTTCTTGTAAAATTTTGGGCTTAGAAAATGTTTACATGTTACCGCAGGAGCAAATTGTAAATTTACATTTAGTAGTGAAACCCCAATTCGGAGAATTTTTAGGAGGCAAAAATTTGATGATGTAACCTAATTAACTGAGTGACCAACAAACTTAAATAAAAAATATTAAAATGCACTCTAGTAGTGATTGAAGATAATTGAACACAAGTGGTCTGATAAAAAAACTTAAAAGATGCTTTTTATTATCTTAAGGAAAATTGTTTAATGCAGGTTGGACCGTATTTTTACAATATGTGATCCAGAAATATAAAGCATCCATCTTAAAGATCGATGCAAATAGATAATATTAAAGATCAATATAAATAAATAGTTAAAAATTACATAATCTCTAAAAATTAAGACCTAATTATATTTAAAAATATATATTTATTTTCAAGCCCGCATTTCTATAACACTCGGGGTAGCCACATAGAAACTGTGTCCTTACCTTAAACCACTCATATGGTGATTTTAAAGTGCATCCTCAAATTTCGGATAGAAAAAATCTTGTCGATAGGTATAATGTCCGATGAAACAAGTTTACAATTTGCTTCCAAGGGAACAGTAATCAAGCTTTAAATGTGGAGATTGGAAAGTTTACTCAATTTTAGAAATGGGGAAAATTCTAGTACGGAGGTCTAAATACTTTTGGAAAAAGTATAAAAGATAGCATTTACTTTTAGACACGGTTTCTATGAGTCCAGTAGAAATGATCACTTCTTATCATTTTATTTTTGAGATGGATTTTTTGACGTAATTTTTAACGACATGTAATCCTTAATATGGAGGTCATGAATATGAAAAATAAATAAATTTTAAAATTTAAAATAATAATTCTATTAAAAAAACACTTAGGCGGCTAATTTCAATTATTTTTAAATGGGCCACCTATTTTGCATCCATCTTTAAGATGGATGCTGTATACTTTGGGGATTGCAAATGTAGAAATAGTTCCTGCCATGAAACAATTTTCTTTTATTTTTTGTACAAGGATGCCACATCATTTTTGTCTTTTAAATTTTAAAATGGGTGGTTGTGAAAATGTTATTGAATGGACACAAAGTTCTAAAATTTTTTTCGAACTTCGTAATTCACTAAAAGCCATCTAATTTGACATCTAATGAGTGAGAATAGTTGTAACCATTTTATAATAAAAATAAATGGTCTTTTCATAGAAGATCTCATATTTTTAAATGTTCTTAATAATGTATTTGTTTTTTAATGTTACTATGCGACTTGATGAGAATGGAACTCTATACATCATGTTGTGGCACCCGCAATCCTTACCACTATTACTTAAGAGCGTATTTTCATATTCGTTAACTTAAACAAGAACCAAAAAAATAATAGCAAAAAAGGATTAAGCTTTGGCTTGAAATTTTGGATTTAAAGAAGAATGAGTTTGGGTTGAGAAAAACAAGAGATTAACTTTTTTTTTTTTTCTTTGATAGAAATAGAAAGCAGGATTAACTTAGGGTGAGGTTTCTATAAGGTTACAACCTTAAACAATCCAATTAAGACGCACCTCCAAGTTTTATCGTAACATGTAATTTTTGTAGGAAATGTAGCCTATCAGACCATTTTCCTTTCGAAAATTTATTTTTTCAATAATGGTACAAAAGTCATATTGAAGTATACGTGAAATCCCATGTAGTTAACATGAGGCAGTGCCATATACATTGATCCATTTTTTAGCTTTAATATGATGTATCATTGGAGGGAAAACCTAATGGTGTGTTTGTATTCCTTGTAAATTATGGAAATGCTTGGATACATCCTATTATATGAGTCATTAGTGGACAATTGACGTGTTTTGCTTCTTACATAGGATTAACAGTTTGGTAAAAACTTGTTAATCCTAATTTGTTGCACTTAAGGGAATTAAGGCAGTAGTTACACTTGGATCTCAACTCCTACAGACCATGAATGTGAGAGTTACTAAATAAATGTGTTCTCTATAAAAGGAGATTAACTCCTCTAGAAAAGAAAGAGAATGATAGAAAAGAGGTGAAGGAGATTCACCAATAGGACTCTCAAGGTAGCATGTCACCGGATGACTTGGTCTATAGGATTTGGTATGAAACCTTAGGTCCCTCATGTGATTTAAGGGCAGATCCGAGTAAGTTATTTATCGATTTCAATTTTATTTATTTGTTATTATTCTTATTAGGACTCTCAATGGTAACAGAGCGAGGTTTGTAGATTTATGTTTGTAAAAGAGGATATGCTTGTGGAAAACATGTCCACATTAATAATGTGGGATGTGTCCTAATAACAGTTAGATTATGTTTTCTGGATACGAGCCATTGGATGCATTCTTATCCAATGCACTATTTGGGGTTTCTCATATTATTTTTTACTTTTCTTAACAAAACCATGATTGAACGATTGTTAGAGATATTATACAATATTCATATAGATTTATTTTCTATGTGATTACTCTTGTATAAATTAGAAATAGACTTATGTGTGAACTTATTATTATGCAGACTGCTTAATAGCTACGTGAGAATTGAGTTATTGACTTTGAACTACCAATCTTAATATCATTTCCATAAAACAAAGGTAGTTATATATGCCAGGGAACAATGCTTGCAGTCAATACATATTTTAGGACCATATGCCCTGGTAATTCAAGTTCTAAAGCCTGGTCTTTCTTACCTTCAATGTTAT